CAAATACATATTTTTTTAAAATAATGTCTTTTGAAGAGTAGTGCTAAACTCTGAGTGCAATGCAGTGTTGATAGCGCCACAAAGCTTTCCCGTGGAGCTCTGATCGTTCATTTCCATCCAGACGTGCAGCAGGCCTGCTTTTCCGGTCCCGGGCTACTGCCAAGCAGAGCTTCAGAGTACTTATTACCAAAGTGCACAAGTAAGTCCCACCATTCCGTTCATTTATTTATTTTTCTGAGCTTGCATGAGCTGTGATTCTCATGGCTGATTTACTTTTCTGAAAACCCATTGCCTATCCTGACCTCTTTTATACATGTGATTAGAAATTGAAATCTTGTATTTCTTTTCAAGGAATAATATACATAAACTAATATTCTCTTTAACATGCCAGCTCACTAATTCTAAAATCTTACTAAAGATAAATATCATTGACTAATTGCCTCAGACTTTGATACGTCTGTCGATATTCTTTATTAAATCTGACCTTGGATCAAAATTCCTTTTGAGAGAATGTCACACTGTTATGCATGAGATGACGCAGGTCACATGTTGGAAATATACATGTGCTCCTGCTGGTGATTTCAACAAATTGCCCACCAAGCCTCTGGAACTGTTGTTTCAGAAGCGTGAAGATTATTTCTCCCTTTTGCAGAGCTGGTTCTTTGCTTTGAAGCTAAGGTGGTTTTCTATGTTTTTCTTTCCCTCTCAAACAGAATTCTATTTCAACAAGGATATAGTTGAAAATGTTATCTTAGATAATGAAGTAGCAGCTGTAATATGTTAATTTTAGTGAGGGATATCTTGTATTTGACACTCCTTGCCTCAATAAGTACTTTTTGATTGACCAATATTCCAATTAATATGTATTATTTGATATATTTTATGAGAAAAACCACTAACCAAGGAAGGAAATAATGAACAAGCTTCACCTAATTTTTCAGTAGGCCACTACTTCTCTCCTGAAATGCTCCATACATCCAGGCCGCTATGCTTTCCTAATCCATAAATTGAGAAGCAGGACTAAAGAAGGACTTTAATCAACGTATATCATACCCATGCCAGAGAGTGGATGGTGCTATAATTATAGTGACTCGTTGTTGTTAGAACACGGTTTAAGGCCAGCGTTCACGCACCTCAGGACATGTAAAGAAGGGCTGCTCACACTTGCCTGCGCATTAGAACCACCTCTAGCAAGGTCTGGTGACACCTGAGAGCTAGGCCTCCACCCCTGCCGCTTTTGACGGCGTTGGTCTGGGATGGGGCTAAGGAATTTGAATTGCTAACAAGTTCCAAAAGCGCCATTGACACCATTGGTCTGTGGACCGCACTTTGAGAACTGTACTACACAGAGGAAGGGAACGCAAAACAGAGCAGCAAGGGACTCAGAAGGTGCCTTAAAGAGCATTAGAACTAGTGGTTTTCAAAGTTGTTTTTCTGTGTTTTTTTTTTAGTTTTGGAATTCCACTTGTCACCACTCCTGCGATGAGCTCCTCAAAACTTTAATTTTAAAAAATAAGTAAAAGTAATAAATTTCTATCCTAAGCAGGTTAAATTTTGGTTTATGAAATACATGTTTTTCTACGCAGCCCTCCCCCAGCACACAGACGCCCCTAACCACCACCATCCCCCAGCACAGACAGAAGAGTGCTCTTAGTACACTCAGGGTCCTGGCATACAACCTGGACAACCACAGTTAAGAAAACATCCCCAAGTCACATTGTTAGAAATTGCTAGAAATATGTATGTGGATGTGTATGCTAACCACTTATGTTTTCAACTATTGCTAACCTAAATTTATCTCTTCCCTCTTTACCTTATAATTTTTTTAAAGATTTTATTTATTTATTTTTAGAGAGTGGAAGAGAGGGAGAAAGACAGGGAGAGAAACATCAGTGTGTGGCTACATCTCACGCATCCCCTACTGGGGAGCTGGCCTGCAACCCAGGCGTGTGCCCAGCACTGGGAATTGAACTGGCGACTGTTTGGTTTGCTGGCCGGTGCTCAATCCACTGAGCCACACCAGCCAGGGCCCTTTACCTTATAATTTTATTTCAAATTCCTTTTCTTCACACTTAGACTAAATATTTATCTACTTCATGACTATGCAGTTATTCAAATCACAGGTAAATTAATGGGGTTTCTTTTTTAGAAGAGTACCGATTTAACAAAAAAAATATTGAAGAAGGAAAAATCACTTTAAAAAATGATATCTGATTATTATGTCTTTGGAGACCCACCCCCTTTTTTTCTTTAAACCTTTTATACCTTAATTTCCACATTCATTAGCCTGTTGGGGTATAGAAATATTCTCTCTTCCCCTCCCTCTAAGCTTCTCCCAAGTTGTTTTGGGAATGTTCTTCCAGGTCACAGAAAAGCATTTAGTAACAACTATTAACAGTAGGTAAAGCTTTCATTTAGTTCGCCTTATTTCTGTGAAAGCATGAAGGACCCTATGGAAAGCATTCTTTGTCCTTCCCACCTCATACATCAGATTCTTGTTCTCATGTGAAAAATGGGAGGAGGGAGCACACAAGTTTGAGACATGGCATCTACCATTCAAGAACCTAACTTGGCCTTGATGATTGAAGATGCTGTGTAACCTAGATTGTACCCACTCTTATTTTACTGAGCACTATATATGACTTCTGCTTCTAGAGTATATAGAAAATGTCATTAAATATATCCATCAGCAAGATGGAATATTGTAAGTATGAATAATGTGCTTGTATAATAATAAAGTAGGAGGTGATGTCATGTATTAGCCATGTAGGAAAGTCTAGCCTGGAATTTCAAGTATATTCAACTCATTTAGTGGGAGAGCAACATTATACTTAAATGATTACTTTTAAACCTAGGAGAGACTCTCTGCCCTAAAGACCAATATTGGGAGAAGAGCAGGAATAAAGCTCAGAAATACTGGGTACTAATCACAAACCCACTATTTATTAGACAAACCACTTATTTCTGTGAAAGCATGAAGGATCCCATGGAAAGCATTCTTTGTCCTTCCCACTCCATAAGTCAAGATCTTGTACATCAAATTCCGCCTCAGTAAAATGGCAATAGCAAGCCTGGACTTCCTGCTTCTTTGGGTATTAGTGAAAACCATGTGATATAATGTACACACACAGACTTTTAAATTCTAAAGCTCTATATAAGTGGGTAGTTATTAATTCCTCGTCTATGTTAAGATAATTATTTCTTCTTACTTGCAAAATAAATTGTTTTTCTTCTTTCCTTCTTTGCCACTTGTGTTCCTTAACAAAAGTTGCAGACCCAAATTTTAGATCCCAGTCTCTAATGTCTGCTGTTAGAGGTAGTCTCCACAGTGGCAGAAGTGGATGGATGGGTAGACAGACAGACACACTGAAATCAATTGTTGCATTATATAATAATAGGTAGTATAAAATCTTAGAACTAAAAAAAAAAAAGCCTTGAAGGTCACTTGGTGCAATAAATCTTAAACCATAATTTTAATCTGAGAAATCCTTGGTTCAAAGCAAACCCAATGCAGAAACCCAATGTGTGAAGCAGATGGGGGGAGAGGGGCTCTAGCTGGAGTGGGGCGTGGAGCCTTGGAAGTCACAGGTGCTCCATGAAACCTCTCACCTGCACTTTAGAACACAGTTGAATGCTGCCCTTGGAGCTCACGGAGGTGAGGAATGTGGAGGCAAAGTCTCACATTGCTATTAGTAAGGCAGAACCATCAAGCAATGTTGTTCGAAATTTGCTGATCACCAAGGTAGGGAAATATGTAATGCGATTTGGAATGAGTTCCATTGAAATGTTCAACTACTAAAAGTATTGTCTTTTGAAGGATGCAGTTTTCATTTTCCTAATCAAAGGACCCTGAAATGCATGATTTTTGATGATGACAGATAAAAATGTCTGGCATTACCATGGTGTGGAATAAAAATAGAAATTCGAAGTGGAAGGGGGAGCACACAAAATAGGCTGTTACGTTATAACATTGAAGGAATCAGGCTAAAAGTGGAGCTGATTCATCATGTAGAAGTGGAATAATTTGAAGTCAAGAGAAATGTTGAATTTTTTCATGAAATGACCGTAAGTGAAGAAAACATGCTTGGTGATGTGAAACAAACAGCAGTTTCTATGTTACTGAATGCAGATTGTAAAGATTTTAACATTTTAGCCACTTTCTCTCACTTGTTTTATGTGCTATTTAGTTCTAAGAGATTATATGCCCATTTTTAGTAGAATTACTAATTTTCAAAACTTTCAATTTGGTTCATTGACTTAAATATTGTGACTTACAACTAAGCATAATAAAAATCACTAAAGAAAATGTTTAAATACTGGAGTGGGAAATAAATTCAGAAACATACCTGCCAATATCAATCACATATGTAAATTTTAATATTTGTAACATAAGTTTCAAACATAAGCAAGGCATTTTAGATGGACATACTAATTTTGTTTTCTGTTCTTTGGTACCCTAAATAGTTTTTGAGTGAGCTGAAACTTTTTTTAATATAAAAACATAAAGATGTTTTTAAAGTGACTAGAACTTATAACTAATCTTAGAACTAAAAACCATCTGTAAAATTGATTTGTTACATGAAAAAAGATTTTTAAAAATCCATAAATAATTAAAAATTAAATATCACTGTTTGGGTGAGAGCTTTCATATTTATATTTGTTTTATCTAATTTTGACACTGGCATATTAGATACATGCAAATATTCTCTGATATTCTTGAAGTACCTACTGCTTGTAATTTTAAGAGTTGAAAAATTATACTTTATTTTGAACATTCACCTTTTTTACCATCCATAAATTTATCATGAGATGATAATTTCATGTCTATTAATAACTACATAATTAATAAAGAATAATCCATAAATTATTTTCATTTAAAAAATGTGTAACTGCCTAATTTTTATTTTTGAAAAATTGTAACAACATTGGAAAAGATAGTGCCAAATGAGATAGTTTAGTTTAAAACACAATAAGCTAACTCTGTTTTCTTTTGCCAAAAGTTTCAGACCCAAAGTTTACGTCTATCAGATGCACACAGAAAATCACACCTTTGGCGAGGAATAGTCAGTATCACGTTGATTGAGGGGCGAGACCTCAAGGCAATGGATTCAAACGGGTTGAGTGACCCCTATGTGAAGTTCCGGCTTGGACATCAGAAGTACAAGAGCAAGGTGACCATATCTCTTTTATGTTCCCGTCAGTATTTGGACAGCAGTGGTTAGTTATAGCTATGTTTTGGAAGATGAAAACCCTACTCTTCAAAATGCTTAACAGAACTTTTGAACATTGTGTCAATGAACAAGACCAACAATTGCCGTGCCGTCTCTCACTTTCTGTGCCATGTGACCTTGGGTAAACTACTTAGCTTCTGTATGTCTCAATTTCTTCATTTATAACACAGGAATAAAAGTAGGAACTATCTTTAACAACAACAACAACGAAAAGTCTGCAACAAACCTAAGTCAATGCCTAGCACATAAACTGCTCAGAATGTTGGCTACTCTTACTATTACAACTAGTACTAGTATCAATACTACAAATAGCATTATTTTACAAGCCATAAAAATCTGTGTAAATTACTCTGAGCCATTTTTCAAACTGGTTTTCACCAGTGCAGATTGAAAGTTGTTTTAAAATTTGTTCAGAAAACAAGGAGTCCTGTTGCCTCTACTAGCAGTGAGAAATGGGGCAAATCAATTTGCCTCTTCATGCCCCAACTTCCCATCTGTAAAACTGAGAATTCAAGTAATGCCTACCTAATAAAGTTATTGAGAAGAATGAATAAATATTTTATACATGTAAAGTGCTGGGAATTCAACCTAGCCTGTAATAAATAGTCAATGAGAGTAGCAAAAAGAAGAGGAAGAGCAGCCTCAGTAAGTAATGAGTATATTGTGTAATAACAATTCTATTAGTAGTAATACTATATTGAATAATCATATTATCATATTATTGAGAGAAGTAACAATAATTAACAAAGGTCATTGTAATCATAGTTATATTCAGGGCACATGTCTTATCTTTGTTCTATTGAAATTCAGCCTCCTTGATGGTCAGCTTCTACAGCTGCTATTCTTAGACAGCTTGGGACAACTGATCATATCCATCTCATTTTAGAAATCACGTTCTACCTTGGTGGGAATACCTTGGCCTTGACATCATTATTTTAACGAATTGTTGATAAACAGCCTGCCTAGGTTCCTTCTGGCCCAGGAAGTTTTTGTCAGTACCTGAGGTAGCTGGAAGTATCACACAGCTGACCAGTTAGCAGGCTGCGAGAGCTGCTCTCCCGCTCATCAGTTACCTTCCCGAGTGCCCGCATGGAGGGGGAGGGCATCATTTCTGACCTGAAGGAAATCAGAAAGGGTGGACAATCCTAAAAAAGGAAACTGAGAAGTTAGGCACTTTATGGCCAGACAAATAAGACAGACCACTTCCCAAAATATCATAGGAGTTCGTTGTAGCCTAGTTACAAGACCTGTGAATTATCATAGCATTTATCTGATGCCATCTTTTTTTTCTGCCATGGGCTTAATAACATACTTTAAGGAAACTACTGATTCCAAAAATAGTTACCTATGACCACTTTGTCTTGTCCTTTATCGATTAACATCATTTCTATGTTCTGGTAGGCTTAAAACATTACTTATTTTTATAGTTCTGCTCTTTAGGTATGAAATATGAAACCCAGCTATGGACACATGTCTCTCTTTGCTCTTTCTTTCCGTGATCTATTGCTGATTAATTTCAGATTATGAACTTTAAAAATTGTGATTCATTTGCATTACCTTTGCACATAACATACTTCATTGCTTTCAAAGTCTTTACATCTAAAGATCTGTCTCCCATGCATTAAAAAGAGAAAAGGCCACCACATGCCCTCCTGCTCAAAAGAAAGATTAGGGAAACAAATATGAATGCTGTTTAATCCAATGGGGAATGGAATTTTAAAGGAAATCAGTATGGATCACTTTATTGACTGATCCACCAGGTGTCTTATCTGAATACTTGGAGTTACAAAATCGCACTTCAGATAATCTTTCTTGTATGTGCAATGTGGAGATTATACATACACACATATTCATACTAATTTGCAAACATTTTTGACATGTTGTTTTGGGGAAAGAGATCTGAAGCTTTAATCAAAGACCTTACTCAGAGTCTAAAACATAACGACCCTGGATGGGTCACTTAAACTCCAGGTCTTGGTTTTTCCATGTATAAAATGGAGATGACACATCAATGCTAAAATTCTAGGATGTGTTTACCTGACCACCCCAAAGTTATTTGCTTTTTTCCCCTGTTCCCACAGAACTTTTTTTTTTAAAATGTGTTCAGCTCAAGAATTCTCATGTGCGGGGGAGTAAGGGAAAAAAAATTCTGGGAATCCTCAGCTTCCTTTATTATGAGATGACAGACATCAAGTTACGTCTTTGTGCATAAGCTGGTTATGTAAAATAAATGCTAGTGTCTGAGGGAGCTATATTTCACTTATAGGCTATGTTTTTGCCTTTTCTATGTAATACATATCCCTCATCTGTTATTCTGTTATTCAAGATGATGAGGAGGCGACTTTGGTTTTCAGGACACATCCTTTAGGGTTCTTTCAGACAATATGCAGTAAAGATGCTAGAGATTCTAATGACTTATTTTCATTATTTCTGGAAGCTTTTGTTCAAATCTCACACATGCCTTTCTAGACAGTACTTAAAGTTTGTTTGAATGTCCCAAGTTAAATTTTTCAAAGACTGATATTGATGAGACAATAGTGACTTTTTTGGTTTTGCAGATAATGCCAAAAACTCTGAATCCTCAGTGGAGAGAACAATTTGATTTTCATCTCTATGAAGAAAGAGGTGGAATTATTGACATCACTGCATGGGACAAAGATGCTGGGAAAAGAGATGATTTTATTGGCAGGTTTGTGCAATTTTATATTTTTGGTTCACTTTAGAGAGGAAGAATTTTGTTAAGAGAATATTTTCTTTAAGTCTGGTTATTGTAAACGATCTTTACTGCTCAGAAGGAAAGGATCTTACCATGGTAAGGCAGCGCTTGGGTGAACTGCAAATTAGGTTTGAAGACTGACCAGTAGGTGGCAGTTTTGACCAGTTGATGGATGGGCTATCCAAATTTGATAGCCAGAAATTTTCTCCAGATGTCAGAAGGATTGTACATAAAAATTATGGGAGCTGAGAAAGAAGAATCTCACTTGATATAAGATCCTTAGAGGAACAAAGAGCATATTCATAGTCTGTAAAGTGATCTGACATTATATTTCTTTTCAAAAAGCATATTGTTACTGTAAAATGCAGTTTCCTAAAACTCCCCACAAGGTAAAGGGTCTTTATAATTTTCTAGGTCTAGGAGTTCATAAATTCAGAGTTCCCAAGTTTTAGTGAAGGAAGTGTTGAGTGAGGCAGATTGTGTTAGTCTGATAATGCAGTGAAGAAAGGACTCTTCTGAGGTTTACAGGATACCCTGCCCCAAGTTATTTTGAATGCCTGCTTGAGTGTATGAATTATTATCTCTCCTGAAAGCCTATTTTTGTATTTCTTGGTAGCTTTGTATGTGTCTGTAGAAAAACATATTGCAACCTGCCAATACTGAAATAAAGCATGCTGTACAGAATTTGTTAGTTCAGAAAATTCTTTCTTCATTGCCATTCATGTTTCCAAGTCTCAAAACGTATAGCCTGAAGAACTGCATGCATACTAACAAATGGGATTTTATGCTAGAGAAGCAAGAGCAGGAATCCAATCCAACATATTTACCTGGGGTTTTTTGTTTGTTTTTGTTATTCTGATATATACGTTTTGGTTTTCTTCATAGGATTATAGAGAGGTCAAAGATTAACTTTTGTTACCCTTTAATATTTTACTTATAAAGTGAAATGAGAAAAACACTACCAGAACCTCATAGTGTGTTACATTTTAATCCTTTTAAAAGGGCAAGCCTTCATTGCATGTTTTTTCCCAATAAACTTGCAATGTAGTTGGAAGTGTATCCTTTCTTCTTATTTTTTCTGACTGTTGGAGATGTTTACCACCCACGTGTAGTTTCTGGCTCCAGCCGCACCTGGATTGTTGGGTGCGTTCTTGCTAGTGCCTACCTCCTGGAGAACCCAGCCTGGGGAAGCAGAGGCCTGGGCTCCACGCCCTCGAGGGCACAGCTGTGCACTCTGCTTCCCAGTGTCTTGGTTGGATTAAAACCGGTCTCTGCAGTGATTCCAAATGCAACCATTAAAGAATAATAAGGGTTTTTAAACCCTTATTTTGAATGGCTTATTTTTATTTTCAGTTGCACTTTTTTTCTAAATATAATGAAGAGTATAAACAATAAAAAATTTAAAAAATACATATAATGAAAACTTACCTGACATCAGCCTCACTAAGACAAAAAAAAATCAATTTTTGGTCATATGCCAAACATATCTGCCTTTGAAAGCAATTTAAGCCAAAAAAATTTTTTTAGAATAAACAAGAGCACAGGTGTAGACAAGATCACTCCTAGGACACAATTTGAGTATCAATTTAAACCACTCTACATGGTAAGGAGAATTACTGTTGAATTTTGAGATAATAAAAAAATGGACAATAGAAATTTATACACTCTGTTAATTTAACAAAGATACCTGTTGCATAAAAAGGAAATGACTATGGAATATCATCATTTCTAATCTATTTGACGTCCAGATAGCACTAGAGACCTTAGGTTTCTAACTTTATGTTTTTTAAATTGTACTTTAAACACATCATGCCACTGAAAAACAACCTATTATTATACCTAAGTGGAGGCAAGTAAAGTCACTTGTGTTTATGTAAAGGTTGTGTGGTAACAGTGGAAATAATGCAGATTATAATAGAATTTCTTGGTTCCTAGAATAGTCTAGAAGAGAATTGACTTAATTCCCAATTAAATTTGAGTTTTAAAGGTAAAGTAATAGGAGCAAAACTGTAGTTGTGGTCTTCTGTCTTCTTTTGCAAGCTATCATTGCAACATTCTATGAATTAAGTTTTTTTCTTATTTATTCATTTATTTTTTTGAAATACACTTGACATATAACTATGTAAATTTAAGGTACACATGTTGATTTGACAGATTTATATACTGTAATATGATTACTGTTACAACTATAGTTAGCACCACTATCACATCACATAATTTTAATTTCTTCTTTGTGGTAGAAATAGTTAAGATGTGTCTGTATTAACTTAAAAGTTAGAGGCTATTTCAGGAGTCAGCTAGTAGTCAATTAGTGAATTAAAAGTTGGCCGTGAAGGTAATACTGCCACTTTAACGCCTAATAACCTTTTTTTAAGGATACTTTCTAAATTCAGTTCCAAAGTTGAGAACGCTTTGTATAAATTAGATAATCTGCATAGACTAGTTTATTGTGTTCTAGTTTTGTTATCCCCTTTATTTTATAGTTTTGGTCATGTAAAATGACTTTTGGAAATGTGTTTTGTAAATGTTTACTCAATAACAGGACAGGACTTTTTTTCATAACGGAGGTCTCTTGTGACTTCCAGGTTGTTGAATCCAATGACCAGTTTTCCACCTTCATTTTAGTTGATCCAGCAGCAGAGGTAGACTTGGACGATCACTTCCTGGCCTTAAAACATGTCTCCACTTGGCTTCCAGGACACCAGGTGGTTTCCCACTGCATGCTCTTTCTTGGTCTCCCACACAAATGTGTTCTCACCTGCCTCCTGTTTCAGTCCTGGAGAACTTCGGAACCTGTTCCTTCTGCTCTTCTCTGTCTGTACTTGCTGCCGTGGTGACTTCATTCACTCATGCTTTCGTGCCATCTAAGATTGACAATGATAAAGGTACAGCTCCACTCTATAACTCACCTAAACTCCAGATTCCCACACCCAACTGCTGACTCAGTATCTCTTCTTCAATATCTAATAGGCTTCTCCAATTTAGCAGGTTCAAAGCCAAAGTCCTCACCCTGCCTACCCGCCAAATCTGCCCTTCCTTCAGGGTTCTCTCTAGTTTGTTGGTAACACCAAAAATCTTGGAGTCACTTTTGATTCATTTTTTTCTCTTACTTTCATTAAATCCATCAGCAACCAGCTAACTTTTTCTTCCAAATGTATTCAGAATTCACTCCTCTCAATATCTCTATACTCTGATCCTGTCTGAAGCCACCATCAGCTTTCATGTAGACAAAATAGCAATAGCCTCCTGTTCTTCCTTCCACAGAACATTAATAAAAAATTAAACTCCTCTTCTCAAATCCCTTCAGTTACTTGCCATGATAATCTGGATAAAAGCAAATTCCCTGTAGTGGTTTATAATGCTCCTCATGGTCTGGCCCTGTGACCCCCCTACCTTTAACTTCTGTTCTGCTCCTCCTTCTCCTTGTACTGCCATTGCCTCTTCCCTGTTTCGCAAGTGCACCGGGCACGCTCTCACCTCAGGACCCTTCCCTCAGTCTGTCAGACTCTTTTTTCGGGTGTCCACCTGCCTTGCTTCTTGATCTTCTTTAGGTCTGTGAACAAATGCCACATTAGAGAGGCATCCACACCAAGTCTATGTAAAGTTGAAACCTCTTTTCCTAGACATTCCCTTTTCCCTGTCCTGCTTTGTTTTCTCAGTAGAAGTAATCACCATTTGACATACTGTGCATTATCATGAATTTCCCATCACTGTCATGTATGTATGCTCGATGCGGGTTGTGTTCCATGAGGAATTTTGAGTGTTTTGTATGCTGTGGCATCCTTGATGCCTAGGAAAGTATCTGGCACACAACAGGGATTCAATAAATATTTGCAGAACTTTAATTTAAATATCTGAAGCTTGATTTAATACTGGAAATTATGACTTTTCCTCCTCTAAATATATACAGAATTTGATACCAGGTGTTAATGAAAAGGCAATTAGAACAATATGTCTTAGTGGAAGGTACAGTTTCAGTGTAATTGAGGAGAGGTCTTTGTATATAACTCAACAGGGGAAAATTAATGAGTTAAAGTCTAAAAGTGCCTGAGTAATCTTTATACTTAAAAAAACACTGAATTGTATTTAGAAAGTCTGTACATTTATCAACATACATATATATCTCATAACTTTTCATCATTATAATATCTATAGAGTTGCTGCCATCTGGTTGTTAAGTTTTACATATAAGTAAGTTTACCGTGAATAGAAGGAAACAATAACGATAATGCTTTACAACTTAAAGAGCACTGTTACACCATCACACCCATTACCTCAGCATCAGGGGATAATGAGAGTGGTTCATATAACAATTTTACAGAAGCAGGAAGTGAGGCAGGTGGAGGTTTAGAGGTTGCCTCGCTGTTTTGAAACGGGGTGATCTGAGACTTAAACCCCGGACTCCTGCCTGGAAAGCCCGTGCCCCTTTCACCGCAGTCTTCTGTTCAGTCTGTTCTGAAATGATTCAGTGCTCAGTAAAATGCTGAGCGGTCCGTAAGCCAACCTGGGGGCTGTCCACCATACTGCGAGTTTAAACAACAAATTTTACCTGTCACTGAACTACAAATTTCAAGTGAAGGTGAAATAATGTTAATCTGCATGTAATTATTTAACTTTCTGATCACCTGCATTTTGGCAGGCACGAGGAACTGCCACCTTTACGATAATCAGCTAATAAATCCTCGTGATTGTTACACTTTTATGCAGAGCAGTAATCTGAACATTGGTTGCTGACAGCTGCGGTAAATTGCCAAGAATGAGTGCTGTCAGAGAACAAGTTGTTTTTATGAACATGCAGAATAAGTAAATCCCGTGTCAAGCAATTTTATTCAGTTGGAGTTATTTGCAATCCAATATAGCAAGATTTATAGCATTATTTATTAGTGTGCAAAATGCTTGTTTATCCGGAGAGTGGCATTGATTTGGGCTACGTATATTTTAGGTTGGTGAATTGCTAGTGACTTTATTTGTTG